GGTTCCAAATCCCGTCAGTTTGAATTCTAGAAAGGTAAAATGCTTCTTGCCATAAAAAAAAAAAAAAAAAATTTACTCTGTTTATGAGACAGTCATATAGATTTAACAAGCTCTTAACTACTTCCAAAAGTTTCACAGAGCAACTGTTCCTGGATGCTGCCCCACATAGACACACACAAAAAGAGGATGTCTTCATGTTCCAGGAACCACTACATTAATGTGTTCATCTTTTGGCCATGGCAAATAACAGACCAATGCTGAGACTCTTTCTGTGACTTGATACTTGTAATTTCTTATAGGCAAAGGAAATCTTTAGGGATGACATATAGATATGACAAGAGCTATGTCCAAGATCCATGGCAACATGTGGCCAGAGTTGTCTTCTAAGTTGTCAAAGAAGAGCCCTCAATTATCTGTTGAACTTGGCTAGATCTGAGTTGGTTTTGGTAGTGGCTGCATTTATCTAAAAGGAGGTATATAAGGTACAAGCATAAGCTCTGCCAAACTGATGTGTTACAGAGTTGGGTTCTGCATCTCTTCGGTCTCTCCAGAGCCACCTGGAAACTTATGGCATTAGTTATTCCTACTGCACAACTTGATTTCCCCCCCTTTTTCATGAGCCTATATCATCAACTCCAGACCTGTGAAAATCACAGTTCTCTCTCAGCTCTGCCTTATCGCTTCTCTCCTCTGTAGGCTGGATCTTTGTATCACTTGGGGCTGGCCATGCCCAATTCTCTTTTTTCCAAGACTATCATTTTTTGCTGTTCCCTTCTGAAGAAAAAACTAGCAGCTTTCTATAATTTTAATTCCCTTCCAGCTGTTTTCTCTATTTGCCAAAGGCCTTCTCTGTTCCATTCTCAAAGCACTTTAGGACATACTGAAATTCAAAGCGGAGCTGTTAAGACCTTACTCAGCATGGCCTGCATCTTGCATAAATAGCTGTTACGTTTTTTAAAATGTTACTACTGTTTTAACAGAGCATTAAATGTCATTGTGAATTTATTGCATTCAAATACTACATAGTTCCTGGGGGATGCAGCAAATTGCACAGTACCGGTCCTGCATCATTCAGCCTGGAGAAGGTGGTCTGATACAAGAGACGGAGACGGGGAAATGACGAATTGGTGGGCTCTGTGTCCAGCTGCAGTAACCAAGTGGAGAGAAGAGGAGCTAGATGGGTCTGCCACCACCTTCTTGCTCTGCTCTCACAGAGCTACCCAGAAGGAAACACCTTTGAGTCTTTCCTCGCTTGTCAGTCAACTGGGAAGGACTCTTAGCTAGTCTGCATGATGACCCGAACGGGAAATGTTGCCTGTTCGCCTTTCTTCCTTGCTTTCTCCCCAATAGTCTGTCCTGACAGAGGCATACAGCCATCAGCCTGAGGAAAGCCAAAGGTTGTGTAAATACAAACACCACTGCTGCGTCGTGCTGCCTTCACACCTGTAGAGCGTAGGCCAGCCAAAGCGCCCTTACAGCTCCCATACCCTACAAGCTGGTGAGCACCAAAGTCATCCTGTTTCTCACGTGCCCTTAGCACGTGCACAGTGTTGCTGCACGAAGGATGGCACTGGATAAGGACAGCAGAATATGTGCCGCATCACTTAAAACGGGGGCAATGTCTTTGGCCCATAGAGCCACCCGCTTCTGGGAAGGGCTGCGCTCCCAGCCTGCTGTCCCGTAGGTGCCACAGTTGTCCTCTGTTCCCCCACTTTTCACCCCACCCGAGTTACTTGCACCCATGCATCGTCACCCAAAGGCTGCACCCACCGGCTGCGGCTCTGCCTCACGGCTGCTCCTTCTCCCAGCTCCTCCATCAGCCTTTACCTGGAGGTCCTGTCTCTGCCCAGGGCAGGTCTCACACCGGGTTTCTGAAAAGGCTCCCGCTGAATGATTTATATGGTTACCTGGCGAGCGAGAGCCACAGCCACCGAACGCGACGGATGCAAAGCCCAACCCCGCACCACGCACCTACCATCGCTCCCGTTCACCCCATGAGTTTCCTTAGGAACAGACCTCTGGTCCAACCGTTGAACTACTGGAAGTCTAAGTACAGGCTGGAAGCGTGAGATTATTGAGAAAATAAGCCAAAAAAGAAAATTTAGATCTATGACTAAATTAATCCCAGATTAACGCTATCAAAGCAAATGGTGTTTATAGAAACTCTTGTTTTCTTTATATTAATGCAAGAGAAAATCAAAAGAATGCTAAAGGCAAATTTCATCTAGCAGAATTGGAAAAGAGAGCATGGGGACAAAGCTATAATTACTGGTATTTCCTATCTGTTGAAACCTGTGGGTGGAAAGAGAGGCAGTGAATAGAGTATATTCAATGGCATTAAAATCAGTTTCTTTTTCTGGACTTTAGCTCAACGCTACAAATTAGCAGGGAGAAAATAAGCCTCAGAGTGAACAGGCAGAGAAGCCAACTTCTTCATGTTACTCTTTGCTGTTAGAAAAAGAAAAAGCATTTGTTTTTCCTTCAAGAATTCAAATTCCTAGCAACCCAAACTACAGCTGCGCGCTGACAAGAAGAGAACGTACAGCAGATCTCAAGTGGTTCAGTGTTCCTGCGTCCACACACACACTATTATCCTGATTTCCTTTCTAAACATATTATTTTAATGAAGAGAGGACAGACATGCTCTTTAATTAACTCCTTTCTAAAAACGACGTCCTCACCCAGATTGATCATGCACCAGCTTAGGCACCTGCAGAGGTACCCGACTTCGGAGCATCCTCTATACACTCAGTGGAAGGAATAAGACCCTCCTGATCAGGATTCGGTCCACCAGAGATCACAATTGCCATCGCTAGGCGCCCACCTCTTTCTGCAAACTATTGCAGGGAATTAGGATAACTGTGCTCCTAAGTCAGCCATTCCACAAAACTAGGAAGGATGATTCCTGACCTTAACATATCTCTACTTACCACTATCATCCCACGTGCAAATTTCTCTTTTCAACAATAGCTGTTATTTGACTGAATGCTCATAGAAAAAAAAAAAAAAGGCTCAATTAAAACATAGGGGGTTTACAGGGAAAAAAATCTATCTTGCACTAACCTGTAGTTTTTGATCACTGCACAGACCTGAATTATTCTGAGGAAGTCCTATGTCATAAAATGTTTACTTCGTTCTGAATTTATTTTCACAACAGTTAATAAATGGAATAGTTTGAGGCTGCATTTTCTGTCAAGGTTTAAAAGTGTAAGTGAAAACGGCTGACGTTGCTAAGACAAAAAGTGGTGTATTATTATTGATAATACTACTAATAATAACAATAATGTTGTTGTTGGGGTAAAGTAGTGTTGATTGGTTGCTCTGTAAACAAGAAATTAGATTTGAAGCATCTACCGTTGAGTATTGTCAGTCCCATTATTCTCCAAACCCACCTAAAATACTGCAAGCTGTAGTATGAAATCCTACTTAGAATAAAATAACAGTTTTAACTATTAGGTTTTTTATGGCTTTAATACAGCCTGTTCTTACATGCAACAATATTGATTTGTCTTAGATTACTGTTTAAGGGGGATTTTTGTCTTAGCTGTTCTAGAATGTGATTTAGTATTTAATTAGTACTGCTTCAGTCAAGCTAGATATGTCACTGGAGCAACACATTTCCTAAACGTTGTTGTAAATGGGTTATATTTTCACTTTAGTCATTAGAGTCCTCTATTTAACGATTATCAAGCCTTAAATGAAAACCAGAAAACAACAAATGTCGCGTTCTCCTCTGCATTTCTCTCGCTGTGCATGCACAGCCGCACATGCCACCGTTGTTCCTACCCTGTTCTTGGTTGGCCCCGCTCACTGCCAAATCTAAGGCCGCCCCGTGTTCCCACATCGACTGCAGCAGGACATTAAAAGGGTGCGCAGCGCTTCACGGAGACGCCCTACGCAATGCTGGGGCCAGGCCTTCAATTCCAAATTCTTCAGGGAAGGGATTGCATCTTTGGGGTTTTTTTTCAAGAATATGTCAAAGTACTGTCAGAATTACAAGTAACTTTTTTTTTTTTTGGTCTACTGAACTTTGGCATGTCTTGATGCACAATGTTTCATCTTCAAAATCTTACCTGTGCAGCACATGTGGATTAAAGCACCCAAAGGAACAAGTCAGGTTTGGCCCTATTTAAAACACGTCTTCTGTTTAAGATTTAACTGCGATTCGTAGTTAATTATTTTAAACTTGTCACCATGGTACCAACACAAAATCGCTAGAAATACAAAGTGACTTCTGAAACCTGCCCCGGCTCACAGATGGCCACTGCTGAGGCACACTGGCTAGTTCTGCATCCGCTGGGGCAAATTCCCTATATGCAGTGCTCGGGTGGGCTTTACCTTGGCTCCAGAGCAGATTTGGGCAATATTCTCGCACCAGCCGCTTGCTTTTTCAGCTTTCATCCCAGCCCCTGGTGCTAAGTGCAGGCCCAGCCTACCTTTAGCACTGCAGACCTGATGGAGAGGTGCAGCAACACAACCTCAACACACCCCCAAGTCAGAAAAACTTCTCTCCACCACCCCCCAAAAACCCTATTGCTGTTTCCTGACGAAGATAACACTTCTGGCTTTGCCCTCCATCCACAGACAGTTTCGCCCCAGTCCAGCGGCACAGCCCGGGTGCTGGAGGGTGATGCTGGATGCGGGGAGCAGAGCTGCCCCCCAGGTACCATGTCCGCCAACACCCCCCAACCCCCTGGCTGGCACGCACGGCCTCGCTGCTCTTGGCCCTGCATGTTTGCCAGCTAGAGAGGCTGAAACAGGCAGGCTGCACACTGGGCTTCTCTTTTCTCTCCCTTTTTTGCCTCCTCTTTGGAGCCCTCAGCGCCCGCTGCATTTCTTTAAATGCGTTCGCCCCGTCTCGGTTAGTTTGTCTCCTCATGCGGGGATTCCTGTGGGAGCTGGTGTTTCTTGCCAAACGGATGTGTTTTTAAAGAAAAAAGACAAGCCAACTACGATTTCCAGAGGTCCTCTCAGGAAGTTTATATTCTCTCTTTTTCCAGGGAGCGTTTACTTTCCGTGGGAGCATGATCGACATGCCATTACTGAAGCAGGCACAGAACATTGTTACGCTTGCCACAGCCATCAAGAAAAAATGAGCTGGTAAATGAAGCTCTCGCCATGGGGCCCCAGTAGCTGTTTTAAAAGATGACTATAATACTTGGGGGAAGAAGAAATTAAAGACGTCGAGCTTAAGCAGAAATTCATTTCCATTCTGCAGATCTGTCATAGTTTGCTTGCCAGAATTGCTAATTACTAAAACTATTCCCGACTTAAACCACTGCTCACTCCCGCACAGCTCATGGACTGCTCACAGCCTGCAACGAAGTTACATCACCAACTGTGTGACATCACGATAATTACTCCGAATGCAGGATTATGACTTCACTGAAGGAGAAAAGCAAAACGGAAGCCGTGAGCTCTGTTAATAGAGCAGATGAAGACCGGGTCAATCGCTTCTTTTTGTATCTACGCTTCTTCCCGCTTCGGTGCAGAACTCCCATCAGAAAGGGCAAAGCCTCGAATAATTACGCACTGGTTGAAATCATTGCGATGAAAATCATTACCCTGTGCGGGCTTTGCATTTCCCACCCACTGCCCCCCCCCGCTTCTGCAAATGTGCGAGAGCCATTAAAAATATCGCTCCGACAATGCGGGACTCTTGACTTTTCTTCTCTTTTTTGAGGCGGTCGCTATTCAGAGCGTTTCCTCCTGGAAGCGTCCAGCCCGGGGAAGGGTTGGATGGCAATAAACTTGTAGTTTTCGGAGACACAATGCAGCAGAACTTGTGCATATGGTCTCGAGTCAGATTTACATCACATTAGGGATACGGCTACAGGTCATGTGGGCCGTGTGGTTAACGGGCTTAGTAAAGCTGTTTTGAAGAGGTTAACCCAGCTTGTAGTAAGGGTAAATAAACATAACAACCAGGCATTGTCCTCTATTCAGCATGTACTCTTATATGGAGGGCTAAAGGGTATTGAAGCTGCAGAGGATCAACTTGTGGTTGCCAGAGGACTCCAATGAAGTTTGAAACACCAACAATCAGAGATTTTGTTTCTGTTCCTCATTAAATCATGAGCTTTTGTGCTCAGACTATGAACGACTGTTCTTTAAGAAATTAACAGAATGGGAAGTTTTAAACTATGCACCAACCTTTTCATGACCTACACAGCGGCAATGCTGCCGCACTTAGACAAACACCGCGGGGAAGGCTGTTCTGTTTATTTAAATTCGTAAATAGAAAACAGTTGTTTTTTAGTTTCATTTTTTTTTCCACCGCCTCCGTGGCCATTTTACGGGGGGAGGAAAACAGGGGGG